CTAAACCTTACAATTTTTAATGTGTGTGTGTGTGTGTGTGTGTGTGTGTGTGTGTGTGTCGCTCCCACAGGGCAAAGGCAAAGAGATAACGTACTGGTTAACAGGAGTGACAGGAGGGAATTACAACCTGCCGACACCACCGACAGCGTGAGTGAAACCCGGTCTGAACACTCTGCTCATGTCCTCTCCGATCCAGCTTTATTTAAAGCGCTCATTTTAAAAACAGCAGTTTTTACTAAAGGGCTTTACAGTCCACAAAACAGCGGTCGCTCATCAATAACAAATAATGATGATGAGAAAAAGAGTAAAAAATCATATAAAGCAGATAAAAGAATTAATGACAAAAGGAACGAGAATACATCGGTCGCATTCAGAGTTAAAACCAAGGTGTAAAAATTAGGACAAGAGTTAAGAACCGGCAGTGTGGGGGCTCGTTAAAAGACGGGCATCAGTGTTTGGACCAACTGAAGTGGAGAAAGGGACGCCTGACTTTGGGAGTCATCTGCGTAAAAGTGGAATGAGAGGTCGGCCATGTTTTTCACAAATCAATCCCATGGGAAGTAGGTAGAGGGAAAAGAGCATCGGGCCAAGGATTGAACCCTGGGGTACTCCACATGGGATGGGAGAGTTGTGGAGGAGTCGCTGAGGCTTACAGTGAAACTATTTGTGACTATTATTTGTAGGACATTCCTTTGATGCCCACACAGGGAGAACAAGACAAGAAACGAGAGCAAGTATCGAACATTTTCACGACCTTACTGTATAAACAAACTTCTAGTATGAGTATTCTTACAAACAACAATGCAGAAAGTCATATTCATGTGCATATAACCCATCCTTCTGTATGAGACCCACTCGACTCATGTTTTCATAAAGCTCCACATGACCTCCTGCAGCATTCATGTCTATAATCTGAAATGTTCCCCGCGTCTCGTCTCAGGGAGAACTTCCAGCAGCTGCAGCAGAATCTGGCCGAGATGATCGTTTCCAGTCTGGAGCAGCGAGGAGAAGGGAGTGAGCGCTTCAAAAAGACCCTGTCCACGAGAGTCAGTCAGAGGGAGACCAACAGCGGCCTGCAGGGCGGCGACAGCCCCCCCGACTACTTCCACCTGGCTGTCACAGATAACCCCAGCACCTACCTGTGATCACAGCGGCGCTCTGAAAAGGAGTAGACGATGTAGGCGTGGCTCTGTTCTGTCCAATCAGAGCTGCTGGTCTGTGTGGACAGGTCACTTAATTCAGCGTCCTGTGACATCAGAGCAGCAGGGCGGACGGCTGCTGCAGCGCCACCCGTCTCTCTCTGCATCAGGACGTGAACATCAGACTGAACCACCCACAGACATGAAATATAAAATATGTGGTATAAATAAGCTCCTTCTCTTTTTTTCTTGTTGGACTGAAACGTTTTCACTGCGGCTGTTTTCTACGTGATGAACTGAGCTTTTTTATAACAAACATGAGAAATGACCACATTCAAAAAGCCACCACCTGGGGGCGCCAGAGTCAAATAAATCTACATTCCTGAAGTAAATAGATGGAAATTATTTAGATTTAACCATGTTTTGGCCTTTCAGATAATATTTTTCCATGTCATTAAATCATTTGTGTGAAGTGATGTTTTTTGCATTCAGTCAAATGTTTTTGCAGTTGACCTTCAGGGCCACTGTAGATTTACATCTTTAATTAGTTCTTAATTCTTTTACATCCAAACTGTATTCAGCAAACTCCTGCAAACTATCTAAAGTGCACAAATACTAAAATGTTGTCTCTCTCTGTCTCTGCCGCTTTTAGTTAAAAGTCTTTTTCCCTGTGGACAATAATAACTCACACACCGAGTGTACTCTCTCACCTTTGAAGAGGTCTCTGTTTTTATTTAAATCTTTCACACAGGAAGCTCGTCATTAAGAAACCTATTTATCGTGTAAATAGCTCCTTTCTGTTCTGCTGCAGAGACGGTGAGTCGTCATCCTGACAGGAGAACATTTGAGGTTTCTTTTTTTTTTTTAAGTTTTATTTTTGGGCTTCTCATGCCTTTAGTGGAGAGATAGGACAGTGGATAGAGTCGGAAATCAGGGAGAGAGAGAGAGTGGGGAATGACATGCAGGAAATGAGCCACAGGTGGGATGTGAGCCCGGGCTGCCTGCTTGAGACTACAGCCTCCATACATGGGGAGCACGCTCTAACCACTGCGCCACCAGCGCCCCACATGTGAGGTTTCTGTGATGATTTGATGTTTCAATAAAAAAAAGTTTGAAATAAAGAATCAGGTTCAGAGCAGTTTAAACTTTTAATAACACTTCACAGTAAAGAACAGGAAACTGAACACACTAGGAGACTCCACATCTCTGCTCCTTTGAAAAACAGTGCAGCGACCTCTTAAAAAAGACGGCTGCAAAAAAACAATTCAAATATGATCTAAAATGTTCAGAAGTCTGAAGTGAACATGCATCCATGTTTTATTTTCACGCCTTCTCGAGTAAACTAAGACTGGCTACATGAGGTATGTCAAAACTGATTATGTGTCCAAACAATCCTCCAGTGTGTGGAGTCACCACAATGACTCTACCGCTCCTGATCCAGGCGCAGTCTCTCACACGAGTCAACTTCCTGATACATGTCTGTGTTTAACATCTGAGAGGAAACGAGCTTGTTCTCTAAACAGAGTTCAAGAAAACAAACGGATAAAAGTCCGCTTCAGAACTTCTGTGAAAACCATCAAAATATGGTGGAGAATAAAGAGATCCAAAATGTGAATCAAAATGAGAAAAACTAACCACGAAGTGTAGAGTGCATGCAGTGAAGAACACACACACACACACACACACACACACACACACACACACACACACACACACACACACACATCTACACAGTTTTGGTGGTGACTAACACCGTCCCACCCAGCTCCGTGGCAGGGAGGGGGACTCTGTGCTCCAGTCCTCTCTCCACCCGCGTCCCAGCATGCATTGGGGGGCACCGACAGGTGGTGAAGTCCTCCTCCCACTCCCATCCTGTTTGGGCGCCCGGGTGCAGGTGAGCGCTGCAGGGCGGCTGCGAGGGGAGAACCACCGGCTCACGCTGCTTCTCAGAGTCGTCTGAAAGATGAGGGGGAAACCAACTACGTTACCACGGCAACAGAAGGTTAAGAGTTTGTTTTGCAGGTCCCGTGCGTGGACATTTCTACATCACAGAGTTCAGATATTTAAGACGGATCAGGGAGTTCACAGAAATAAAGGAGGGGCGCCCGTCAACATCACGGTACCCCCTGAGGACCCGGTCTGCCACTCCATGTGGGACGTGGTTTAGGAATGGTCCATAAAGGATCAAAACCTGTCTCATTTCAGTTTCATATTTAGGGCCCATTGGAGTCGTCCTCACTCTTCTCCCCGACGTGGCGCCCTGTTCACGACACACATTAATGTAAACACTGAACAGCAGCGTCCTCACACAGACGATACAAACCCGTAACGGCGTGGAGTCAAAGATGCTTTTACTGAATCACAATAGATCACATGTGAAACAATGAGGTGTCTCACTTCAGCTAAGTGAAAAGAGCTGATACCCTAATCTAGTTTCAGACGTTCTCGTTGTCCTGAGGAGGAGAACGCTCCATTCACAGAATCACGCGGTGGAGACGGACGCACGCGCTCTCTCACCGGGTTTAAGACGCACATGAGCTGCATGCAAGACGATTGAAACCTCGGTCAGGAGGATCACGCAGACATTGTTTTATGTAAAGAATCCAAACTTAAGCCGAGCAGCGTGATGTGCTTTCATCGACATTAAAGATATTAGAGTGTTTAAGAGATCACTGACTGTTTAATCCTCTGGTTTTAACCATTTGTCCACCAAATACACTCGTGCTGTTCACCACTATAAGAGACCGTTTAAGAGTGTGTGTGTGTTCTGAATCTGCAGATGTGTGTGTGTGAACCAGAATAACTGTTAGAGAGCTGCATGCCGACCCTGGGGACGCCCGCCAAGAAGAGAACAGAAACTGTGCAGTTTCTACCGTGGTGTTCATGAGCGTCACACTTCATCACCTGCACGCCTGCAGACGCACGCTGCGACATGTTTTCACATCACGAAGAACGATTTCTGAACGAGGGGCCGTCACCACACCAGAATGTGAAACTTTGATATGATTCTAGTTTAAATCAAACGATGTTGATTCCTGTTTAATACCAAGGCTCCTCCCTCTTTTACAAACGTTGTCCGTGTAGTTTGGATTTGTTTGGACCAGAGAAGGTAGACGGTTTTAAGGCGACCCCCCCCACACGGCCGTTTTGGACGCCCCTCGGTTTGCCAGATATGAGAGCAGTTATCAGGTCAACAGGTGAAGTGGTTCAGATAGAAGTGATTGTACCCGACCTAAAAAGCCTCTGCATGTTTCTAATAAGCTCCACGAGCAGAAACGTGCTCAAACTAGGATCAATATTGGAGATGCTTTTGAAAAATGGAGAGAGGTTAGAACACAGAAAGGTTTACAGACCCATGCAGAGCTGGATAAACACTGAAGCTTCAGAGTCCACCACATGGTGACCTGAGTGAGCATCCACTCTAGAGAGGAGGGGGGAGACAGCTCTCTATAATGTTTAGAAACTGGACTGCAGTACCCATTTTAAACACTAGGTGTCAGAGTTACAGACTGCTCCTTTAAATGTTTGTTTTTAAAGCTTCTGAACGTTTTGATTCTTTCCTCCGTTTAAATAACAGAGAGTGCATCGTATTAAAACATCTGGTACTCTGAACAAAGTGTCATGAGCGAGGAAGATGAAGTTCAGGTCAGGATTTGTTTTTGTTCAATGACTCACCTGCTGAAACCCGAACGTATCTGACACATGATACCGACTATTATAACTCAAACTAGCAGCAGCTGCTTCTAGAACAACAGGTGGAAGTTTCACATTAAGAATGAATCTCAGTAACAGCCTTAAAAAAAAAAGCTGTCAGCTGCTGAGGATTCTGGGATACGTTGTTCTTTGTGTGAGGATTTATTTCATACAGATTATAAATGATCCTCTTACCCGGGGTTCTGCTCGTCCTGGTGTGTTTTCTGTAAATGAAGAACAGAGTCGCGATCAGGATGGTCACCACCGTCCCCAGACCCACACAGATCCACAGAGCCGGACTCAGGAACATCATGGAGGATAACTGAGGGGCAGGAGACGTGGATTTCACCTGGACCACGGGAGGCAGGGGCGGCTCTGAGAGGAAAATACTGATTATATACCTCAACACAAAAACACAGATCACATGTTCAACAGTCAGAGCGACATTCAGTCAAACACATCTAAAGAGTCAGCTCTGATTCAGAGGAGGTATCAAGGTGTCAATGTGGAGCCCTGCGTAGGGTTTAAATGTATCTCTGTAGATATTCAAGTCAACACACAAAAAGCAGAGACAGAGCTTTGTCAAAGCCACACAGAGACGTTCAGAGACTCACCTGTGGGCCACTCGGTAGGTTTAGGTCTGTTTATGGTCCTGCTGGAGATGCAGTGTTTGACGAGGAGGTCCCACTTTTCACCCACTGGACAGTCCTTCTTGGCCATGTCTGAAAAGTGGCTGCTGAGCCACGCTCCTCCGATGTTAATGACACAAACCCTGAAAAAAACCCTCTGAGGACAGAGAGCGGTGAGACCCGGAGGATGAGATGCAAAAGGGAGGATTTGTGAAATGAGTGCAGAGTGCTGAACAGACGTTTCAGTTCCTCTATTTCAGAGGAAAGACCGAATCACTACCCGAGTCCCCGAGGACGAGACAGAAACAGAGAGAGAGAGAGGCTTATAGAACAGAGAGGTCCTGACATCACAGATCTGTACTTTATTAAACCTTAGATTCAGCTGTGGTCATTTGACCGTACAGTATGTTGACATGAAGCTCTGGATCCATGGATCAGGTTTCTCCTGACAGTGAGATCTCCGTCTGACTCACAAAATCTGATCTTTAAAGTGAGAATTACATTATGAGTAATCTCTACCTGCGTGTGATCTCTCGGGGTCTGGATTTTCAGTAGGTAACGTGTTCTGGTTTCAGTTTAAAGGACATTTGTCGGCCGAGCTGTATTGACCAATCAGGAGTCAGCATGCTTTACTGAATCAGGACAGTAAAAAAACAGATGCTAATGACACACCAGCTCCCAAAGTTTGCACCCTACCCCTAAAAAACATAATTTCTAATCCAACAACTCAAACACAAGAACTTTGAATACAGAAACAAATCAGGATCACCTGAGTCAAAACACTAAAGAACTCACCGAGAGCAACAGTGTGATGTCATCAAGATTCAGCACAGGAGAACAAGACGAGGATGTCGACTCTCTCTCTCTACTCTACATGGAACCACTCGCTGCAGCAGTCAAACATAACACACAAGATAACTCTTTATGCTGACGACATCATACTTTACCTACAGACTCCACAAACCTCACTTCAAGAAACAATGAATCAAAAACATTCCAAAATCTGAAACTATTCAATAAACTGGACTAAGCCGACACTACTCCAATCTCTGTAAAGAGCAGCCCTACCACCACCCATTCCCTCCACCACTGATACTATAAGATAACACTTCAAACACCAAAACATACCAGACGACTGGATGCACCAACTACTTCCTGTTACAAATCATAACCAGATGGATACACCCCACAGAACAATCCAGGCCATGGCTACACATAGAACAGCAACAAGGAAAATATATACTCATATCAATCCTACCATTTATCAAAATCATATCATCGCTACAGCCCTAACAGAGTGGTGGAAAACTCACAAAGTAATGATCACAACACCCACACCCTGTAAGAACACACCAACATGGAACAACCCAGACGTTCATCAAAACCACAAAACACTGAATCTCACCGATGGGAAGGACCAAGACATCCCCCAGCTTCACCACATCATTCAAGACTTAACCTTCATCCCCTTCAAAGAATTAACTCAAAAGTACAATATAAGAATAAATCTCACTTCCAATATCTTCAAATCCAATCAAACACAGAAGTTTAACCTCAAACAAGACGACAGCGACAAATCACCACGAGCAGACACAAACCTCAAACTCTTAAACACACAGCCAAAAGATTTATCCACAACAACAGACCATGAAACCTGGAATATAATCTGCAACAACACCTTCTCAGTGACAAACAGAAACTCCAACTGATTCAGTATAAGATTAACCACAGAACTCACACTTCAGGGTTTCACTTTACCGCTCCAATAACTGTTCATTAAGCCCAGCCCCCCTAACAACCTTGGATGACTTCTGCCCATCCCCCATTCAGACATTCTGGACACAAGTCACAAATAAACTGCCCGGTTCCACTCCCCCATCACTACGCATTCTCGGTAACACATTTTCAATCACACCTCCCAACGACCAAAAAAACACAAACTACTCATCGCGCTCACTGTCGCCAAGAAAACAATCTTCCTCAACTGGAAACAAACAGCTCAGTATGGATGAACACGTTACCATGGAAACACTTAAACATCCACTTCTGGACATGAGGCATGCAACAGAACCGCTATGCTACCCAGCGCCCCGGGTCACTGACCATCTTAGAGTTCCCTGTTCAGTTTAAGACCGCCTGATAAAAAATATAAATACATTTCTAAACAACAACATGAACTTTCAGAGAACACATTTACTGAAAAGTGGAGCAGCAGAAGACGGAGAGGATGGACTTCTCTCATCATGTAGACAGACTAGAGGAACATGGGGAAGAGGATTTAATATGTGACCTTTAAAGTGAGAAAATCACAAGATATGAAACAGAGTGAGAGTGAAGCTGTGGTTTAATTTATTTTGTTGAACTGAGACTCAGATGAACGTTTAAGTTGTAGACATTAACGCCACTCAGAAAAGGAACTCCTGCCTGGAAGTCGTTCAACGCTAACCGCTGACTTCACTGGAAAGAGGAATGAGAAATTCACAGATTCTCAGACTGTGCTGTGATGACCTGAATGAAAGTTTGCACCAGAGGAAACATCAGAGCAAGAATACAGACGGAGACCGGACAGTCCTGAAAAACTTTAAAACTTTAATCACAACAGGAAGTAAGACGGAGATGAGCAGCATCATCAAAACACAAACCTGAGAGACTCTGATGGAGCACATAAAACCTGAGGATGACATCATCACACAGACCATGACATCATCACACAGACCATGACATCATTACACAGACCATGACATCTTCACACAGTCCATGACATCATCACACAGACCATGACATCATCACACAGACCATGACATCATCACACAGACCATGACATCATTACACAGACCATGACATCATCAAACTGACCATGACATCATCAAACTGACCATGACATCATCAAACAGACCATGACATCATCACACAGTCCATGACATCATCACACAGACTGATTAGAGATTTGAAATATAAAAAAGAGTTTATAAAATCATTAAACTCTGAAGGTATAAAACACATTTCACTCAGTTCTTCTTTTTCATGAATAGAAACTGCAGGTTAAAAATGTGACTGAAGAGTCTTTATAAAAGCTTCGGTACGTGTTCATACCATCAGCAGCGCCTTTCTGAAAAGTGGAAAGATTTTCAAATTCAGCGCTCGGAGCGACCGCAAAAACAAGGCAGAGCGAAATAAACGCTGGGCGATGAGCTTTATCTCCAGACGGCGTTCTGCTGCCAACGCTCTCTACTCACTAAAACTGAAGAAAAGACGCCATGTGGACACGTGGTCAAACAACCTTAACGTAAAGTTCAAACAAACATGTGTACAGACAAACTTTAAAACACTGATCACAAACGTGTTGGCAGCTTTTTGGTCTCAGGGAAGAAGAACGAGCTTCAGTTTGGACGTCACAGAAAAAATCATCGGGGGAGATTGTTCATTTGAAGCACACACACACACACACACACACACACACACACACACACACACACACACACACACACACACACACACACACACACAACACACACACACACACACACACACACACACACACACACACACACACACACACACACCCCTTATGGTCTGAACAGCAGGGGGTACATCTTGACGAAGGTGAAGTTGAAGGAGGGGGGCAGACCCTGGTGACTGATGCTGCTGAAGTTCCCCACCCAGGTAAACGGAGGAAGTCCTCCCTGAGTGGTCGGCCCGTTCAACGCCTCGGCGCTGAACATCTCCGCCATGTTGAAATCTGTCACCTGCAACAACACGGCACAAACACGCTCTTAAAGCTACAGAACGTCACGTTATTTCACTTCAATCCCACCTTCATCACCAATCAGCCAATCACAGCCACTGAGGGGAGAATGTTTTGGTTGCTTGGCAACAGCAAAGTTTCAGCATCTTCTCGCTGCTGCGTGTTGATTTTCCATTATTATTATTTTTTTATTTTCCTGTTTGAGTGTCGTAACAGGTGGCGAGCCACGCCGCGTGATGCAGCATGACCATCATCATGACTATTCCCGATGCATTGTGGGATACAGTTAAGACAATAGTGCACTACAGTGAGGTGTGTTTTCAGACGCAACCCTGAAGACATCTTTAACTGTCATCACCATGGTTACGGTCACTACCTTAGTGTCATAGCAACCAGACGGAGAAGCCTTCTCTGTCCTCAGGTCTCCCCGACAGCAGATGGTCTTACAAGGGTCCCCCTTAGAGTACGGATCCTTCTTGTAGTCTGAAAACAAACAAACAAACAAACAAACAAAACAAACGTCTCATTAAAGATGCAGACTGAGGTCAACATTCAGCCCCTAAACATCTTCGTTCTCCCTCTCTCTCTCTCTCTCTGTCTTTCTCTCTCTCTCTCTCCTCTCTTCTCTCTCTCTCTCTCTCTCTCTCTGTATCTCTGTGTCTCTCTCTCTCTCTCTCTCTCTCTGTCTCTGTGTCTCTCTCTCTCTCCTCTTTGTCTCTCTCTCTCTCTCTCGTCCTCTCTCTCTCTCTCTCTCTCTCTCTCTCTCTCTCTCTCTCTCTCTCTCTCTCTCTCTCTGTATCTCTGTGTCCCTCTCTCTCTCTCTCTTTGTCTCTCTCTCTCTCTCTCTCTCTCTCTCTCTCTCTCTCTCTCTCTCTCTCTCGTACCGTTGAACCTCATGATGAACTTGAGAGAGTCCAGGTCCTTCACGTTGGACTGGTCTCTACGGAAGATCTTGGCTCTGGGACAGAGATCATAAGAGAAGTCTTCTCCGAACTTCTCCCACATGCGCCCGTAACCACTCAGCGTGTAGATCTTCTCGTGGAAGGGGACGTTGAAGGACGGCCAGTAACCTGCCGGGAAGAGACGCCGCCGCCCTCCGTTAAAACACACGCTCAGAGGAAACAGCGTAACCATGGCGACAGTGTTTTGTACCTCTGCGCAGAGCCGGAGTCTGGTCCGAGTACTCCACCAGGCCGGGGATCTGCTCCACCACGGTCAGAGCTCCATCAGCAACGCTGACCCCCAGCTTGACCTTACTGCGGTCCAACACCATGTACTGATTATTATAGGTTCCTAAAGGGGGCGGGGTCAGAGAAGCATGCATTTACTTTGAATCCTCTGTTTCCTGTTTGATGTGCTAATGTAGAATCACTGACCCGAGTTGAACCTGGAGAAGGTT